AAGACCCAGGATTGAAGCAAACTAAACTGAAACTTAACTGGATAAGCAGGTAATCCAGCTTCATGGTACAGGTGCACACCCCTGATGTGAAATATAAATGTACTGTATGCTAGCAGAAGTGTGAAGTAAAGCGTCTGCTAATGTTAAATGTGAATGCATGTTAATAAAGAGTAAAGTGAAGCGTCTGCTGGAGTGAATGTGCATGTCTGCTGGTAGTGAGTGTGTTGGAGTGTGACGGCTCGTGAGGGATTGCGGTATATATAGGTCAACTGCGCTCATAAGAGCTGGTACAGTGATGGTCTGCTCCCTGCGGCTCTCTGTGTGTTTCCCATTAGCAGACATCATGAGCTTTCCAAAAAGACAAAGCACTTTCATTAGTTCTGCGTCCGCTGCTGCTGCGCTGCGTTTATTCAGATGGAGTTTGACATGCTCTACTTTATGCATGGGTGTGTGTCTGTGTGTATGTGTGTGTGTGTGTGTGTGTATGTGTGTGTGTGTGTGTGTGATGAAAATAATAGAGAAATAATTTTAAAATGTTTGTAGCATCATGGTGTTAATATTAATGATAATATACTGTATATATATATACCGTGTTTGTGTGTACTGAATATATATATATATATATATATATATATATATATATATATATATATATATATATATATATATATATATATATATATATATAATGTATTATTTGTATTATAGTTATTATAACTATTTTCTAATAAATAGTAACTATAGGAAAATATAATGACAAATGACAATTGTTATCTTCACTATTATTATCCTGTTTTTTTCTCTGTATCTGTATACTAATAATTAAATATCTATCAATAATTATTTTAATCTTCATATGAGACTAATAATAAATCTATATACTGTTTAATATCAGGCATAACATTACTTATAATAATAATAATAATAATAATAATAATAATAATAACAATAATAATAGTATTAATAATAATAATGAATAGTAAAATAAAAATAATAGTACTAGTACTTCTACTACTACTACTACTACTACTACTACTACTAATAATAATGAATAGTAATAGTAATTAATAATAAATAATAATAATAATAATAATAATAATAATAATAATAATAAATATAATAAAATAATAATAATATTAATGAATAATAATGAATAATAATAATAATAATAATGAATAATGATAATAAAAAATAAATAAAATAATAATAATATTAATAATTTTCCCAGTGATGGGTTGCAGCTGGAAGGGCATCTGCTGCTTACAAACATGCTGGATAAGTTGGTGATTCATTACACTGTGAAGATCCCAGATTAATAAAGGGACTAAGCTGAAAAGAAAATGAATGTATGAATAATAATAATGAATAATAAATAAATAAATAAATAAATAAATGATAATATAATAATTATAATAATAATGAATAATAATAATAATGAACATTAATAAATAATAAATAAATAAATAAATGATTAATTTAATACTAATAATAATACTAATAAAAATGAATAATAATAATAATAATAATAATAATAATAATAATAAATATAATAAACATTTTGGATAGAAAAAAAAGATTTAAAATTTTTTTTGAATTAAGATTTTTTTACATTAAAAGTTTCTATTAGTCTGTTAGTTGTTTTACCCACTTTAAAATGTGCCTCGTACATTAAAGATTATTTCTACATGATTTAATGCATTAGCCCATTTAGATATTATTTAATGTATTTAGGTGAATTCACTGATGTTACATAATAGTTATACTATAAAGCTAATTAATGTTGATACCACTGTTTAGCTTCAGAAGAATAGCATTTATTTTTGTTGAATAATTTTTTTTCTATAAAAACAAGTTATCTGTGATATATCTGTCCGTGATTTTGATATCTATGTGAATGTGTGTGTGCTTGAGTGTGTAAATACATTTAGCAAGCCACAGCTGTCCCAGAGTGCACAGGGTAAATACCAGCCTGATGATGCCTGACGATCAATCCTAACCTCACATCCAATACCAAAGCCACTGCTTCATAAATCACATTAATCTCTGTATAATAATCAACAGAGAGGCTTCAGAACCACACCACTGAAACTGCAGACACAGAGACGGAAACACACACTTCTCAGCTGATGATGTAGACATACTTACTGAAATAACTGGGTATTTGGTTACAAATGCAGCATTTTTGTAATATATGTGCTATAATATGTGCAAATTATACCAATAGTCACGCTTTACAATAGAGTTTCATTAGTTCATGTATTTAAGGATGATCAATAGTTGTAGAGCATTTATTAATCATAGGTCAACATTTACGAAAGCGTTATTAACATCCAAATTCATGCTTTTTAGCATTAGTTAATGCACTGAGTAAATGAACTAACAATAAATGACTGTATTTACATTAATTAACATGAATAAACACTGTAATAAATGTATTGTTCATTGTTTGTTCGTGTTAGTAAATGCATTAACTAACAATACCTAATACAACATCATTGTAAAGTGTTACCATAATAATAATGATAATAACAACAACAACAATGATGACAACGATTATAATAATAATAATAATATTATTATTATAATATAATAAATATAATAAAACTATTATTATTATTGTTATAATTATATAAATATATAAATTAATATATACTTTATTTTGCTGTTTGTTTAATCAGCTTTTTTCAAATGAGCTAAAACAACACAATTAAGTTTTTTTTTGGGGGGGGGGGGGTGGAGATACCCCAATTGTTTTTATATTAAATCCACTTAAATTAGTGAAAACTAATAAGTTAACTTATTGACTTCATGTTGTCTCTACACAAATTGATTGTGTGGAACCCAGCATTTTTACAGTGTATTACTGTTGTTTTTATATTTTTCAGTGTGACCTATAATATGGAATGAATAATAATAATAATAACAACAACAACAGCAATGATTATAATTATAATAATAATAAATATTATATAATTACTATTATTTATTATTTTTTTCTGTATTATACTATGAAGATAAATAATACTAATAATAACATGTATTATTAGTATTCACTTATTTCAGTGTATATATGGAATAATAATAATAATAATAAATAAATAAATAAATAAATAAATAAATAAATAAAAATAAATAAATAAATTATTATTATTATTATAATAACAATTATATAAATTTATGGGCTATAATATGGGAATAAATAATTAATTAAATAAATAAATTAATTAATTCATTAATTAATAAAGCCCTATTTATTTATTTTTGTGTCCGTCACAGTCACCAGTGAGTCTATACAAATCACTGGAGAACTACAAACCTGCCACCAAAAGAACTACTAATCCCATCTTACCTGTTCACACACACCAATTGCAGTTCTCTCACTGATTGCACACACACACACACAGCGGGAAGCTCACCATAGACTGATTACCAGGACTATGAATACCCCTCACACTCACACACACAGTGCTGAGTCTTGTTCACATGTACAAAGCGTTTCCTAGTCTAGCCGCACTTCCTGACCCTTGTTTCGTTCTTTGTTTATCCTGTTTGCCGTCTGCACCGACCTCTGCCTGTGACCACGACTACACTTTTGGAGTACCCTCATGGAACCGTTTGTTCCTTTTGACCACTGCCTGCTTGACCAAGCTGTGAATAAACTGAGTTTAGACCCTGAACTCCGTTGTTGCAGTATCTTTGCTCTATTGTATTCACGTAGGCTTGTATTTTGATTTGATATTTTATGCAGATGCATTCTTGATCAATGTAAAATTATGAATTCTTCATAAATATAGTTATTTAAATCATCTGGTGAAATTATATTCATATTACACACAAACACACACTATATAAACATTATAAACATACTTATTTTTATAAGCAAAAACAAAATATCGCAATGTCATTTTTCCCCAATATGGTGCAGCCCTACTGTTTAATAAAGTGTGTAAGAGGAGCTGTAAACAGCGGGATGATCATGTCAGTATGTCTGTGTGTGTGTCACATGGAAAGAGGAAAAAAGCTGAATGACACCAGAAAAAAAGAGAAAGATGTGCTTATAAACAACACACACACACACACACACACACACACACACACACACACACACACACACACACACACACACACACACACACACACACACACACACACCGACAGAATTTTAAATTGTTGTTCATACATTCTTAAAATTGTTAAATATACTGTTTATTAGCATTTATCATTAGTGTTTTTTCCTGAAATGTTGATTGCTAAATATCCTGTAGTGTTTATTATTATTTATTGTTAGTTGTTGTTTATCACTATTACTGTTATTTGTTTTCATGCTTTAACGTAAACATCACAAATGCAATGTATGTAATTATTGTCTGCTATTATTATTATAATTGTACTACTATTATAACTTATATTGTCTATTTTACTGCTCTATACAGTGGCAATGTGTACTCGTATGTGTTTGTATTTCTTTTATAAATATATATATATATATATATATATATATATATATATATATATATATATATATATATATATATATATATATATATATGTATATACTGATGTTATTTAGGCTTTTGTTTACTGCTATGTATGCTTTGGCAATACACAGCCATGTCTATCAATCCAATTGCCACCCAAAAAGATGATATGAGAGAGAGAGAGATAGAGAGAGAGAGAGAGAGAGAGAGAGAGAGAGAGAGAGAGAATCCCTCAATCACCAGTAGAACATCAGAACAAAATACGGGCACACAAATACACGCACGCAAACAAACACAAACGCAAACAAACACACACACACACACGCACACACGCGCACACACACACACACACACACACACACACACACACACACACACACACACACACACACGATGAAACGCGATCTTCACAGGACTGCGCGCGCGTCTGCAGAGGTAAATGACTCTCCATCGACACACACGCACGCACGCACACACACACGGACATGACAATGAAGCCCTCGCTCACTCATAGACACACACCTGAGACAGAAAGATCCGCCGGTGGATCATGCTCAAGCTCCGGGCTCCAGCTCAGCGGGTCTCACTGCAATCCTCAAGCCGAACACGGTGATCCGGAGCCGGGGAAACCGCTCAATCCATCCCGAGCAGCAGAACCAGAGCGTCAACACTGTCCCGCATCAGCACTGCGCAGCAGCCAATCAGCAGTCGGCATTCCTTCTGACTCCGCCCACAACACAAGACGAGCTGAACTGTGATTTAAAGAAGACACGCACTGAACTGGCACTCAGTGTAACAGCAGTCTAATTAAATATACACAACAATCAGGGCAAGAATCATTATTAAAGAGCGTTGATCAACTTGACCTCAAAATATTGAATGATATTTATTTAATTTATTATTAAATGACTTTATATTTTGCCGTTATATCCTTCACTAATTTGTCAGCAAGACGTTTTAACCATTTAAATTACAATCAAGGCTGTGATCACTTATTATATGACGTTTTAATACAGGTATTAATGATCTTACTCTATTTTTATATCCGCTTGATAATGAAACATAAACTAAGTAGACACTTGACTTACATTTAACATGCATTCTAAGTACATATCACTTCTATACATAGATTTAATGCATTTATCAAAACATTTAACCTACATAAGACTCAATCTTGCATTAATCTAGCATATTAATCCATGGATTATTTAGTTACTAAGTCGAAGTACGTTATGATACTTTATTTAAAGAGTAAGATTGACTTAAAATTGCAATGCATTACTTTTTTACCAAAGCTGTATGTGTGTATACCCAAAACATAATATTTAGCTGTATCTCAACCCTGTTTATATAATTGAGACCTGCAAAACTACATATTTTGGATTTTTCTCTTATATTAAAGAGCATGATAAATAAATTAGCTGTATTGTAAAGTGCAGCGCTGACTGCTTTATGTAAGTTACACTTAAAGTAAATAAATTCAAAATAAATATATAAATTAATAAGTAAGCTAAGTTTTAATTAACTTTAGACTTATTAAAGGTAAATATAGCCTATTATTTAGCTTTATAGAATAATCTGAATTAAATAACCAACATTCAAGGTTGGTTACATTTCAGGTAACAATTGGAAGTTACTACTTTTATTTATTTATTACTTTGTTAAGTTGAGATAAGAACATTTCAAAGAAATATTTTTACTATAAAGAAGTCGAATGCTTATCTGCTTACAAAAAAACAAACACTGTCTCTCTCCCTATACTATATTCGAATGAAATCCTGTAAAATATTGTGCGTTTTAATTAAATAAATCGTGTCTCATTAAGCTGAAGTTCATTCAAGGTGGCTCCCCGCTCTCTCTGTCGCCATCTGTGGTCGAAACACTACACTGCATGTTTCTAGTAGAGTAGCTCTTTTACGTCATCGCTGTATCTGGCCCATCTGGCCTGAGGAATCCCCATGGTTACTGTGTATTAATATAAACATATCACTGCAGACCTGCCACTCTGCGATACCCATTTACAACAACTCGTATCCTAATTATATTTTGTTCGGACACGTGCTTATCGAGTCTGTTTTGGATTTGAGGTCAGTGTTGTCTTTGTTTGGACGACGGTGGATTTGGTGATGTTGGATGCCCCGCAAAGATCAATGTTTGGATACACTACTAATGCTCACCTGCTGTCCTGTTCAATCTTTGACGAAGTAAGTCTATCGCCAAAACCCGATGCTTTCTCGCAATAAAGAAGCAGCAGTGTTGTTTACGGACGTGATGTAAACACGCAAGAACGTAGGCTTGACATTTCCCGCTTAATCCAACTCGACGGTTCCAGTGTGTGGAATGGGGACCACTAATGATTAACCATAGTCAATAGAGTTGGCGGGAAAACCGTTTTGATATGTTAATGAAGCCTACATTGTGAAAACTGTTACTAACACCTTTACCACTGTAAAAGATGCCTTTCTAGGTTACATTTGTTGTCTTGTTTCTAGTCCAAATATTTAAAAATCCTTAAATCAAGAAGCATTTTATATACAAGCAAAAAATAGCCTTGTTTTCAGAAATAATATGCCTAAATTAAGTGAGTTTTTCCTTAAAACAAGCTTAACAATCTGCCAATTTACAGAGCAAAATGTCTTATTTTGACATGGCATTTTTTGGTCATATTTCTAAACGCAAGTCTGGAGAATGCTTCTTGATTTAAATATTTGTAGATATTTGGACTAGAAAATAAATAAATAAATAAATAAATAAATATATATATATATATATATATATATAAACAATATCACGCGAGCGTCCCACCAGTCACCTGGATGACTTGCATGCATTTTCATATTTGTATTTAAATGAGTGAAGACAGTTTAAAATAATAATAATAATAATAAAAATAGCCTGAATAATAAATAAAACATATTCAAGCACCATTAAAACCTTATGTTTATGGTTGGAGTTGTATTCACTAATGATAAGTAAGTACACAAAAGCGCAACAGAGACCTCTAGCGGGCATTTATGATTACTGCAGTTTACCAAACATTTAAAATCTTATGCAATAGTTATTTCTGTCATGGAAGACTCTGAGTGAAATCAAAAGATCACTTAAACAGCTGTTTATGTTAATAAATTCCCCATGCCATCTTAAATGATGATAGTGCTTATTGCAAGAAATGTTTTGCACTCGTCCTCTAGAATCAGGTATTATCCATATTATTTCTTCCTAGGCATGTGACTTAAATGTGTGATCATTTATGAAATTGCAGTAATTTTACCTGTACAAAAGCAGTCCGTCATGATACTTTATTTAGGAAATTCCTCACATGGCAAAAATACTATAGTATTTTGTAATGTAGTGTTTTTTGAACCATACTATAGTAAATACAGTTGAAGTCAGAATTATGACCCCCCCCCCCCCACACACACACACATTTCTAATAATTTTTTATAACTTATTTCTAATAACTAATTTATTTTCTCTTTGTCATGATGACAGCACATAATATTAGACTAGATATTCTTCAAGACACTAGTGTTCAGCTTACAGTGACATGTAAAGGCTTCACTAGGGTAATCAGGGTAACTAGGCAGGTTGGGGTAATTAGGAAAGTCATTGTATAACAGTGGTTTATTCTGGAGACAATCCAACACTAATATTGCTGAAGGGGCGAATGATATTGACCTTAAAATGGCTTTAAAACTATTAAAAACTGCTTTTATTCTAGCCCAAATAAAACAAATAAGACTTTCTCCAGAAGAAAAAATATGATCAAACACACTGTGAACATTTCCTTGCTCTAATAAACATAATTTGTGAAATATTTACAAAAGAAAAAAATTCAAAGGGCGGCTAATAATTCTGACTTCAACTGTACTTGCATTAATATGTTGTGGTGATTTAAAGTATAAAGAAAATTTAAAGAAATGACCCAGTACTGTAGTTTTCTACAACTATAGGGTTTATTATGCTACAATACAGCACAGTTTACTGTAGTAAAAATTAAAATACACTACAGTATTTGACAGTTTATCAGTTCACAGTAATAATACTACAGTACACTGCAGCAAAGAGCTGTAAATCTAAAACATCAAACCAATAAACCAAAGAGATCTAAACAACAACAACAAACAACAATGACAAACAAAAACGACAATGACAAACAAAAACAACAACAACAAACAAAAACAACACAACAACAAACAACGACAAAAAACAATAACAAACAAAAACAACAACAACAAACAAAACCAACAACAAACAACAACAAACAACAAACAGCAACAACAACAAACAACAAACAGCAACAACAACAAACAACGACAACAAACAGCCACAAATAAAAACAAACAACAAATAACAACAAGAAACAACAATAAGAAACAACAACAAAAACAACAACGAATACAACAAAAAACAACAACAACAAAACAAAAAAATAACAACAAACAAAAACAACAACAAATACAACAACAAAACAACAACAACAAAAAATAACAACAAACAAAAACAACAATACAACAACAAAACAACAAACAACAACAACAAAAAATAACAAAAAAACAACAAACAAAAACAACAACAAATACAACAACAAAACAACAACAAATACAACAACAAAACAACAACAAAAAAATAACAAAAAAACAACAACAAATACAACAACAAAACAACAACAAATACAACAACAAAACAACAACAAACAACAACAAACAACAACAAAAAATAACAACAACAAACAAAAACAAATACAACAACAAAACAACAACAACACAAAACAAAAAAATAACAACAACAACAAACAAACAAACAAAAACAACAACAACAAACAACAACATGATATCACAAATCCACTGCTCTAATAATGACAGAAACAACACTGTTTGGACTCAATTTCAGAGTGATTATGCCTGTTCAAACTACACCTGCCGTTACACTTGTATTAGCATCCACATCAGCACATGACATTGTTACGTCTGTTATATGATATGCATGATAAACAAAACATTTATAGACCAATTTTGCATGACACCCTACTGAGCTCACATCTTGTGCTTTTACTAATGGCCGATCACTGCAAAAAAAATACAACATGGACCTCTAGTGGCCACACATGACTATTACAGCTTACCATTTAAATAAGGCTTATAAAATCTGCTGTTTCAGCCTACGGCTTACTTATTTCTGCTATATAGACGACTAGAAGACACAAGATCATAGACATTTTACCATTTACTGGTCACTTTGTTATCTGTGGTGTGTTCATAGCCTAAATGAACACACCACAAATAGTGCTGTATCTCTCTCTGACCCTTTTAGGCTCTTATTTGTGGCGTTTTGGCACATTCAACGACAAGACTAACGTCCTATGCTAAAGAGGGGCTGCTGTTTATGCTAATGAGATTGAGAGATGGGCACTAGTGGGCGGGGCTTTCCCCCTTTGATGACACGTACAAAGGGAAAATGCCAATCAAAGTGTTTCATTCATCAAGTCTGATTAGAACAAAGACAATTAATTCATTTAACCATTAGAGGCTGGCTATATTCACCACACAACTGCCTTTAAACCTCTTATATAAGTGATTTCTGCACAGCAGCTCCTTTCTAAGTAAAAAGAGAGAAAAGCTGACAGGAAGACAGACGACAGGCAGAATGTCGCAGGTGAGCAGAAACAGTAGACTAGTTGTTCCCTCCCTGCTGTCAAATACATTACACCGTGTCCTTTGGAGGAACGCCATGTTTTAGATCCACACAAGTCCACTAGAGAGCAGTCTTCTCATTCAAGACACATCCCCAATGCCTGTAATACATTTCCTTTCTT